GTTGGGGGGTACCCCTCGGTCTCATGTCTTGCTGGGTATAATGGCAGAACCCAATAGACCACTTACAGGTGGTAGTCGGTAATAGTTCCTTAACATGCCAAGGAACCATTGAAAATAAGCGGAGTGCAATCCCTCTATAAACTAATGAGAAACTTTTCATTACACAGAACGCATGCAGAGGTTGCGTAAGAAGCCACCTCAATTGGAGCAACTTATTAAACCCGCCAATTTAGACCTTCATTAAATCTTATAGTGGGAATGAATGGCGTCTGTTTAGTGTTCCGTGTTTCATAATTCAAATAAATACAAGTTATTCAGTGAAAGGACGCATTATAAGAATAATCAAAAAAGAACAACAGGGGATTTCCCTAAAGTGCAGTTATCCATTTTTAGACGATTCGAATAGTTTTTAGATAATGTGAACTTACAAAGTTCTTGCTTATGAGATTAAGAGCCAGCATGCCATAGTCCTCCACGGCATTGGCACAGGAGACAGAGCCAAGAAGATCACAAATCTCACGCAGCTTTTCAATGATCATGTTCTACAGATTTTGTTTCGAAAAGTAAAAAAAAACCAGATAACAGTGAATAAGTAGCCCTGAAATATTGCAGCTAAAGGTAACTAAGGAATCATTCCAAACCAAGCAAATAAACATGACAGAAGAGGTAGATCACATTAAAGAAAATGAGCATTAGTTGACAGAAGTCGGCCACATTAAACCGAAAGTCAAGGTTAACTTTTTTTATTTTTGGAACCTAAGAATAAAAATTAAAAGAATGAAGTAAAAAGACATTACAAATTAATTTCATTTACGATTATGATTAAGTGAAAGTTTGTGATTAATTTTATTTAAATATCTAAGGAACATTTAGAAAAACGTGAGGCGTGGAACTGAAAATCGTCTGGCGCCGCCTCATTTGGCAGACTGTATTTGCCAGGAACATTATGAAAAGTGCCTTCCCTGAGGTAAAAAGGTCTGCTGGGGCTTAGGAAGCCAGACAATAAACGGATTTTCAGTCAAAAATGAGCTTTTGGCTCATTCTACCCAATTTATGCAGATTCAGTTCTTGATGTACATGTATAGTTATCTAGAGTATGATACGGTGATTTGGATGGTTAGAATGTCTACCATCACCGTTAGCAAGATATCGCACTAAACGGCTGATTACTGCATCGCTCATAATGTGGATAATGTGGGGAAACTGGGCGTGCGTTGCATCGACATGGACATCATCTACAACTGTTGATAGCAATCCACTGCGTGTCTGAATAGAGGCATTTGTGAAAAAAAACCTTAGGCCTACTTCGATCGTTCTGTTCTTCAGGAGGTTGTCCAGATCGGTCAGGAAGGCCACACAGTCGGTGCAGGAGTTACCATTATCCTTCACCGGCGGCTAAAAATATGGACAGATTGTAAATAATTAACAAATTTAAAAAGATTAAATTTTTTCATTTTCATATACGACTAAAAGCTTCACTTCGCGCACATGAATGGTAAAAATAGCTTGATCTATTTCAGACTGGGGATTATTCAATCAAGATTTCTGTTTTTGCGAAAATGTATTGGTAGACAATCCCTTTCGAGGGATACAGGACAAGCAAAATATTTATGACAAATGAAGTGCGAAGCTGAGAGATTTTGTCTCCATTAAAGCCGCATAAAAATCGTACAGAAATTACACAGACATTTCTAAAAGCTGGCTTTGGCTTGGTCGACAGCTCCGTCAGATGTCGATAGATCATGAGTCTGAGTTCTAGAAAAACAGGTTGCATGTGCAGCTATGCCGTATAGCCTGCATACCAGAAACCGAAGCGTCGATTTGGTAAAGATAAAAACAAAGTATGGGCCTACTTTGTTCAACTTGAAGTTAGCTACCGGAACAGGTCCTTGGCTGTGACATAAACGGAGAGATGTGCAGATGGTTTTAGGATCCTAGAGAAAGATAGAAGAAACTTGTACCTGATTTGAATTTGAAAGTTTGATTGCAATAATATGGTGACACTGAAGATCATGCTTTTCCGTCTGTATAGCCGTTGCAACATTGCAACTTTAAAAGAAGTCAGTCTTGCAACTTCAGGCCAGCAAAATAACATCGATTATTTGACAAGGTTTTTCTTGAAAGGTAACCCTCAATGAATAAATTAACTATGACATTTTATTGTTGTCTAGGTCGGGTTGCATAGGCTCGGGTCGCGTTAGGTGGGATGGGAGTTGTGTTCTGCTTGTGTGAAAGAGTATTCACATGAAGTCGTCTGTACTTACAAAGAAGTCAGCCAAATAGGCCAGGGCAAGCTCTCCATATTCATCAACGAAATCCGCACAGTAAGTCGACCCCAAAATCCGACACAACTGCTCCACTTTCTCGATTATAATCTCCTGTGAAAGTAAGTCGCAACCAAAAAAAAAAAAAACACACACACAGCTGATGCATGAAAGGAAGGTCTGTAGTTGGCGCGAAATTTCTGCCTTCTACGGAAAGGAACTGCTAGTTTTAGGCGCTGGAAGTATAAGAGTCGATTTTACGAAGTCGTTGTTGGTTGAGGACTGAACAGATCCCGCCCAATCATCGAAGGCGTACACTGATAACATAGTGAAACTATAGGCAACGGCGTGTCTGCCGCGTGTGGATTTTGTAGCATTTAATAAACGCGTCAACGACTTTCATTCGCCGTTAGTGTTGCCGGTGGTAGCTACGTTCTTCAGACACGCCTTGAGTTGCTGCAGGGCATGGCTGTCGCCGCAATGAAGGGGGCCAGTATTGATAACGCAAAAGAAACGCCATGAAAGGAAGAAAGGACATTAAAATCACAAATATTTTGTTCAACTCCTGTTTGTTTAAAAATCCGGGTGACGACCATGCTCAAAGACGCCAAATTGATTTCTGGTTTTCAGGCTTACGGTTTCCTTCGTAAAATCTGTTTCCATCAGGGATTTGTGCACAGAACGGTCTAGAACTAAATGAGAGTTTTTGAGGGACATAGTTGGTGAGAAAACAAATCTAAGTTTTGTGCAATGAATGTCCAATTTATGCTGTTTATCTACGTCATACCTGATCCTTTGGATTCTTCAGGATTTGGGAAACATCGCCCATGAAGTTCACGCAGTCAGTACAAATATCGTTGGCCTGCACGGGACAAAAAAATTGATTGTTGATATCAAATCCACCTGCTTCCAAACAGACCTGCACTGCATGGGCAGAACTGAACGACTCCAACTTGAATCCCTAATTGTGAAACATTTCTTCAAACTTTCCGGGAAATATCGTCAGTTCAGATTGTGTCAAACTCCGTAGGCCTACACAGCACAGACCAACTGGTCCGTAACCATCGACAGTTTTACACCCATTGGTCAACTCACTGCTAAGTCACTTGCTGCATTGGATTCTGCCGTGGTGAGCTTGTAAAGGGCTACCAGGACCCCTGGGAAGAGAAGAAACACTATGATAACCTTGCAAACCACCACCATTACAAAACAACAACAAACACAAATACGTCCACCATAACTATCATAAACAACAACCACCACTACGACAAACACAACAACCACCACAAACACAACAACCACCACAAACAACCACAACAACCACCATAAACACAACAACCACCACAAACAACCACAACAACCACCACAAACACAACAACCACCACAAACAACCACAACAACCACCACAAACACAACAACCACAATTAACGACCACCACAGAAACAACAACCACAACACAACAACCACAACGACCACTTCAAAATGGCAAAAGCAAACATAAATTCGACTAAGACGGGCCAAATGTCAAAACTTCCTGAAATGACTTTGACTATATTCAAGAACAAGTCGAGCTTTAGAGTGAAACTGTGTAGACAATACGAACAACAGATCCACATATTAATCACTGAATCCACCGCACAACACATGACTTTCGGTTTCAGCCGAATCAAATTTATCTGCGACACTTCCTCTTGAAAGAATGGACACAAAAAAAAAACCCAGACAGAGGCAAAACAACACACGGTTTTTCTTAGTTCACAGGAAATTCAAGCAAGTCTCGTGGTCTCTTGACTTTGACAGATGTAATTGAATTGAAATGACTTATCCAGTAGAACCAAGTTAATGTGAATTGCATGTCCCTGCCCAAGTACATTCGCAATCCCAATCCAGGGCAATAACAGCCGAAAGGTACGGTTATATCGAGGTATACTTGTGCTTGGCGGCTCAATGGACTTATTACATTCGCGGATCTAAAGAATTGCTCATGCCACACTCAGTCTCTTTGTTTTGCTTGTTTGTTTGTTTGTTTTTTCTTTTTCACTTTAAACCTAACACGGGCTTCAAACCAGGACTGTAGTCGCACTTTTCGAGACCAAGTCCAAAGGGACCAATGCAGGCAGCTACCTTCGTTTGGGGCAAGTCACAACATTAGCCTTATCCACCTGACGGTTTTGTAGCGGGCAAGATTATGTTGTCCAATTGCATTGAAGATGGGTGGGGTCAAATTTACACTCTTCACCCTAATGCAGAAACGCTTCTCCCACAAGGACCATCAATTCTTATAATTAATGGAAGGGAACTTGAATACAGCCGCTCCATTCAGGTACGCCTGAATACGAAAGTATGTCCACTTTAGGATTGTAAGATCGGTCTGCCTTTCTCAATGAATGCATTCCGATCAGGCTGAATTTTTGGTCGACAGGGCGCCAAAGGGTAGAGTGTAATTTGAAAAGGGAGGAACGTACGTCCCCAAATCTAAGAACGGAGGCTTCCACAATTCGTCTACTTCAAGAATATGACAAAAGGCATTTAAAAACTCGCCAGAAAGAAGAATCAGAAAGACAAACTCGAACGGCAGAAAAAAAATTCATTTTTTGCCGGCAACAATGAAGTTTCCTTGTACCAAGTGATGCGTGAATATCATTGAATGTCTGTTCGATACCGGTATTATTTGAAATAACAATAAAATACACTAAGAGCCAGGAGTCCTGGCAACCATTGTGGGCCTATATACGTTCTCATGTTTCCGTTATTTAAGAGTATTCGGGAGAAATGGGTGTGTGTATTGCACGAGGAATAGACGGCCGAACTCCGCACGCGGAAATCCATGTTCGCAATAACGTGTAAGCCTACAACATTCATGAATGGAGCAGCAAAAAAAGACTGGCTCTGAGGACCTGTCTTCTTTTGCTGGCTGGTCTTTTGAAAAAGTATGTCCCCTAGGTTGCACTACCTCTTAAAGCACATACCTGTTGAGAGGAAAGCAGATAACACAGACAGCTGCATGTTGAACGCTAGTCCTATATACTGTAGGCTACTTCAGTCACGCCAGCACTGCTCGGGGTAGACGAAAAGCGGAGCTCAGCGCGTTTACGCTAACGAGCCGTTTGGCGGAGTTGCGGAAACAGGCTCAGCTCACTAACGTTCATTTGAATAACAATCAACGCGGAAACTGATGGGTTTTTTCCTTCTGCGCAACCTTTGACACGATTTGGCACTCACGTGAATGGTTCAGTATACGATTTCTTTTCACTTTGCACTGAAGTTTACGCGGATAGGCATCAAAACTATACAGGCACGTGACTTTCCGTCGTTGATCCTGTTGCCTGTTATGCAAAAGTCCAAGTACTGGAGTAAGTAGGTTGGATTTGTTCCCACCGAAAGCTATAGCCTTGCCCTGTCCAGATCATTTCTATAAGTGGAAACATATACCAAGATAGGGCGCTGGCCATTGCAGTCTTTTCATACTCAAGCAATGGAAAGTTAACAGTTTTTGTTCTTTCGATTGAAGCGTCCATGACCTCCGCACGGGCACATATTGCAGGTGCATCATGCGCGGCCGCATAATTTATCTTCTACATGCTATGCACGGAAGAAAACATGAAGTTGTTTGCATGCGTCCTCGTCCTGTTCGTAAGTAAGTAAATAAAATAATTCACACTGAACTTGTGCCCCTTTTTTCAGTTCATCATTACTGAGCAGCCAAACGTTCTGTGTTTTCAATCTTAAATTTATCCATATGGGATTTGGTTTGAAGTGCCGGGCGTCGTCGAAGTTCAGAGATCAGGCTACCCAGATCGTGAAGTCGTCACGAGACGGTCTAATAGCCAATTTAATAAACCCACGTGACACTTTGCTGCAGTTCGAAAGTCATTAATGTTTTCTTATCACTTGGCGTTTTTTGTTACAGCCATCCATTCGACTGATACTTCGTATCGTGCAAAATGAAGTCGCCCTCGAGCCAAGCTGACGAGGTATTATTTTGATCTGTTTAATTCCCGTACGGAGCTTCCACTTTACATGCCACAGTCCTGGTTGCCGCCCAGCGGTGGTTGGCAATCGAGATAGGCCTATGACTGACCGTTAACGGAAGAGCAAAGAATAATTCAGAAAGTGTCAAAAGGAAATCACAGGCAGCTTCTTCTACTAAATATTCAAGAATTTCCTTTTCTCTGTATATAGGAGGTAAACTGTTACCAACCAGTTTCTTACAAACTTTGACCGCCAATGGAAATGAAAGTCAATCAGAGAATGATGTTTGGGTCACTGCCAGTTTTAATCAATGTTGTCTCGTTGCCTTAACCTCTTGCCAGTGGGCCCTATTTAACCTCAAAGGAAACAAGGCTTCGTCGTGTTATCGTCGGCGAGCTTTCTAAAAGTTGTATGTATCCGTTTTAAGATTGTAACCTTTATGTGTTTAACTTCAAGCTTCACTTCAAGAACAAACTTTCGTTTTATACAAGATATAGCATTGAAAATGGGAAGGTTTACGAAGCGCTTGAGCAGGGAGTAACGTCATTCAGGGTATATGTTTATTCATTGACTACATAATCATAATTTATTCAAAAGCCTTTTAACTTAAACCACGTCCGAATTACAACTTGGCTGCGGATTGGAATGAAGCGTGACTCTATGGATTTAGGCTTTTTTTAGCCACTATCATAGACTCGTGTACAACTTCAAGCCGCAGTCAAGTGATTCGCATGCACAAGGGCTGTATTAAGGCCCCAAACTACAACTTGGGGAGTCGAAGCCAAGGAAGATCGCAGCGCACCGATTTGAAGTAGACTCGAAACCGATTCGAAATTTTCAGGGTGATATAACTGGGCTGAGGGAATTTTCCCAGCGTCTTAGAAATTCCACTTACTTTTGCTTTCGTGTGTTATACTTAAGACATGAAACTTGCATTAGCCAATCATTTCCATGTTGGTCAGTTCTGAGTATTACCTTTGGCTTTAATGACTGTAAAGGACAAACATGAAGTAAACATCATGTGTGTGACAATCAAATTAACTTGAATTCCCAGTGGTGTGAATCTGTGTTAGGTACTGGGCGGTGACTAAAATTCGAAACTCGACAGGGGGATTGCTGGACATCACATGACACTAGGGGGCGCTAATTTTGATTCAGATGTACATTTTATGTACACTTACATAGTCCCCAAAATCTTACATTAAATCGGCAAATTGAAAGCTTTTGTACTTTTCCACCCATTTTTAGAACTATTGCGTACATCTGGCTGTTTGGGAGTTCGAAAAATACCTAAAATCCGCCTTGCACGAGATATGCGTTTCCTGTTTCATAGTTTGATACAAAATTTCATCTCATCGCAGCTTTCACGAAAAAGCCGCCAACAGACGAAATCATGCCAAACCCACCGTTTTGAACAGTATCTCGAAAATAATAGCTTTTATGCACGACAAATTAATTGCCAAGTTTCCACAACAGGTGGACCTGTCGCTTGGTCCAACCGACGACTGTGAGCCCTCTCCACGGATGTCCCCAAGGGAGTTGGGAATGACATTGAAGTCGACATAAGTCGGTGTTCCAACATGATTTTTTCTCGACCAAAAATAAAAACGTTCTTGGAAGGCACATAAATTCGCGATTACCTTTGAATGTGGAAACAAAAAAGATGGTCACATAGACGATACTTTCATCTGTCGCTGTCTTTGAGACATTTTTGTCACCGTTATTTTACTATAAACGCAGGCTGCCGTGGCTCGTCAGCTCGAGAAAACGCGCAGTGGTTTCTGCTCCCTGAGTTCCCTCTGCAAAGAAGCGGTGGAGAGCTACGTCCCCAGTATGATTAAGGCCTTCCCGTCACAAACGGTTAACTAGCTTTTGGAAATAGACACCCAAAAGTCTTCAAGTTACTGCAAAAATGTGTCTAAAACACTTTATTCTTAAACTGACAATAGAGGGTTTGCATTGCTGCCATCTTGAAGGCCACTTTGTGCCGTAGGGTATGCACAAAGGTGGTTTCTCTGTAGAACAAAAGAACTGCCCTGGAAGATGGCTACCATGCAAAGCCTCTATACGGAGACCTTGTTAAAAACAGTGGACATGTTCTGTGTGCCAAGGCAATCAGATCTTGAGTCTCGAGCAATGGGCTTATCTCACGATACAGACCAGAATTCCGTCACCTGCCAATGTCATTCAGCTGCGAATTCTACTGGGAATTAATCAAAAGCCTAACCTGAACTTTCCAGAGCTGAGTTATGATTATGAAGCATGCACGAATGCACCGATTACCATGCTTTTGCATGTTCCCGTTGAACATTGTTAAAATCCTGTGGACTTTGCAAGTGACTATGTAATATTTGAAATCATTTCAACCAGCTCGTTTGCCTGGAGCAACAATGTCCATACATAGCGTCCTCTAAGGATTTGAATCGAGACCTATCAAATGGCTTTCGTTTTCTGTTAATGCAGCCAGATCCTGGTCAGGCCTGTGCGCAGCTGAACTATTGTCCCGCTGAGGTGGCCGTCAATATGCCAAATGTTGTGTACAACGTGGTGGGTAATGCCAAAAAGGTACATTTCATTTTTTTCATCTGAATAAATAGATTTCCAAAAAAAAATTATGACACGAGGTGAACTTGCGAAAGCGGGCTTAAAAATCTGGCTAAGATACTTGTTATTCAGGGACAGTCTTCAGAGGAAGCGCATTAAAGCTAACGATTGGCACTGATTATTTTAATGATTTCAAAATCGGGCATACAACGATAGTCAATACAGTAAACTAACTTACTTCTTCCATTCAATTTATCCAGTGAAATATAATTACTCTTTAAGTAGTTAATCAAATCCCAGTGATTAAATTCGGGAACATGACACGCACTATATGTGACATTTATCTATATACATCACAGACCGAGTACACTGGTTTTAAATAAGGAGGTGGTTTTTGTAATGCAAGATCCACTACAAGTCTTGGTGATATTTTCCTCAGACCGGTTAACCCCTGGAATAACATCAGCGGGGAAGCACCAACAATTGAAGTTCTTGTTTTCAATATCTGAAGTATTTCTGTACAACATTCACTGTGCTCCAGCCCAAACTGGAAAGGAATGATAATAGATTGGTAGAAGAAACTAAACCATGATGAACCTGCGACTTCGCGAGCATCATGCGAGTGAATTCCCCAACCCCAACCCCCCGTCACTCCAGCTCTTTGTCGCTTGCGCTGCATTTTACAATGTTTCAAAACTGGATGGAGTTCAAATCGATGTAAGTGTAAATCTAGCGGAATCCCTTCATTTCTATTTCGTCCAGATGTGAGGTGGCGTCTGTACGGCCTATTGTGTTGAAAGGAGATACACCCCCCAACTTACAATTCCCGTCTCATTTTTGCACAATGGGGAAAAATCCAGGGCATTATATTTTGCATTTTATATGAAGTAAACTAGAATAAAACAGCTTCCATATATCGCTTCCGTGTGCTGTTTAATTTTTTGACTATATACCTAAAGGTTAACTATACAGCAGATTGAAAGCTTTTTAAATGCAACGTGAGCAATATGCACGTATCTATAGAAAAATAGCACCTGTTGACGACATTATTATATCTCTGTGGTTGAACCTGAAATTGAGGTTGAAAAACGCAATTCCCTTCGATTTTTGCTGACTAAGTCGGAAACACTGTCAAAGAACGAAATGGTGAAAATACTCCTTTGACACACTAATGAAAAAACGCAAATACCAGCCAAAATACCTATAGCAATTGTAACAAAGATTCAAAAATAAATTTGCAACCTTTGCATCCAGGAATCATTTCCGTTGTCAGACTTGATAAGCAGACATAATTTTTCGCTTGCCATTGCACAACAATTGTATTTGGGCTTCCTAGCTACGTGCAACTGTTTTGTATTCACTACAAGCACGCTTTAAAGTCATCTCTTCGACTGTAAAGCATTCACAACTGTTACTGGTTTTTATTTCAAAGATAATCGAACATTATATAAGGTCTCTATTGCAAAATACTCCACTCACCAGTCTTGCATACATTTAATTGTAATGGCAACTGCGCGTAACATTTAAAGATATATTTATTTTGTATGTCTATATTCTTACTACGAACCTTGGTCACAATATTATCAGGACATTTCTGTTTCATCATTCATATTGGTCTTCGGACTCAGTTCCAAGCGTGGCGACGACAGTGCTCAATGTTCTGTCACACAAGAGAATGAAAGTGAAAGGGTTAGTTGAACTATTTGACTGTCGTCAAATAATTGCAGGGAACATTAGTCAAACCAGCTCTTATGAAGGTAGATACTTAAGACTTGCTACGGGTACGGTTACGTTTTATTGACCGACACATCCACCTTAAAACATGATACAAAACGAAGCATTTTCTCTTTTGAAATGAAAGAAGCTTCCTTATGAAAACCTTGGCATTATTTCGGACACATTCCAGAATGGCTGAAATAGTTGTGAAGAGTTCTTGACATGTGTACCTGGGCCGTTTTCCAATACTCAACTTCGTCTCCGTCGAAGGCTTCGTTCCCAAAACCAATCCCCGATTATGGGCCTGAAGCGTTTAAATTACATTGGATTACTGTAATTTTTGGTTCTCTTGCATCTTATTGGATGTTTTGTGGCACTATTAGACTAATTACTGCGCTTACAGCTTCAATGTCAGCTAGTAAAAAACAGTTGAAGCCTGAGACGGAGCCGAAGTTGAGTATTGGAAAACGGCCCAGATATCGCCATATCGTCTTTACAGAAGCTTTTCTGCCGCTTGACTTTCCAGTCTGGCCCCTGAACCTTAACTTACGTTGCATAGTTTGGCGTTGTCCATGCTGGCACACCAGAACGTTGGGCCTTGGTCACAGATCTTGCTTTCGAGTTGGCCGATTGGGGTTTGAGAGCACACACGCAGAGCCTTCGGGGGGAAGGACACATTTCCTGAATTTTAAGTTTTCGAAGCATCTAGGCAAAGTTTGCTTGGTATCCGGGACAATAACTCACCCAGTCGTCAAATGGTCACTGATCATACTTAGCCCAGGTTGTGTGATTGTTTTCACTGAACCTGAAATCTCTTCTTGGTTGATTACGTTGGATGCTTTGTCTCTGCAGAAAGTTTTCCCCGATTGAGAATAAGGCGTTTATACATTTGATATGGGACAGAGAGAGCATTTTTCTAGACCTACCCCACAGATCCTCTCCGGAGTAAGGATTGTTCTCAGTATCTCCAGAATCACTTTCGCAACGTTGGAGGCAATCGTCTCTACTAAGTTCCGGCACTGCGTGGGAAAAGAACACATAAAGAAGCAACTTTATGACAAGACGTCGTGTGCCCGGAAGAAGGTCGTAAGCGCTCACGACCTTTTGCCGGAAAGAATAATCGCTGCAAAAAAAAAAAAATCCCGGCAAAAAGACGCATTTATGCAACTGTTTTATTTTAATGAAATATAAAGATTGCTTTGCAAAAAGCTTAAAAAAAATTCCCAAGTCGTTTAATCAGTTGTTCAAAGCTTGCTTTATGCACAGCCTGTGATGATGTTGTGGTAAATTTTACCCGTTTTTACTAAACAAAGAGAGTGTGTTTCTTACGTCCTTTTACCGGGAACATTTTTTTCTACTCAGATCATGCTTCCGGGCAAAAGGGCGTAAGCGTGCTTACGATGTTTTGCCGGGCGCACGAGGGCAAACTTTTCTCAAGCAGAGCGAATCAATAAAGCACAGCCATCCCAGAGTGACAGGACAAGTTTATCATAAGAAGTGTGTTTATTGAGGGAGCTGATTTTCAGAAGAGCAAACATTTTATTCTAAATGGAGCCCCTTGTGCCATCCCATCTCATTGTATAGAAGGCACTGTCTTTAACAGGTCAACGTGGGGCTGTTTCATCATGATGAGGTCTATCGTTTTGGGGACTGGAGAAGCCCGTTTTAGCACGGTTGAAAAAGACAAGACACGTAGCTGGAAGTTGACGCTGGTGCTATTTCACTGGAGCAGATTTCAGATCGATCGATCGATCGAGATATGCACCTGCTGATTAGCATCAACGTTGGGGGCTAGGGCTTACCGTGCCCGCTACAGGGTCAGGGAGGACGTCGCAAATCGCAGCGAGCAGTGTTATCCCATTTTCGACGAGGCACTCCACAACGTTTTCGATTACGGCCACCAACGTCAGGCAGAACGAACACGCCGCTGATCCAACGGAAAGTGTCTGTCTCGCTGAAATGAAACATTTGGGCTGATGTTGATTTGCCAATGCACATCATGGACACACCTGACGCTACAATGGACATACAGTCTGTTACATGGAGATGTTTCTATCTTGTTGCCAGCCCCTTTGGTAGAGCATGTCAAAAATTGCCTAGGAAAAATATGAACAAAGTTGGCTTTCTAACTTTTGTGCTTTTCTATGAAAGCGGAGTTTCACTAACTAACGAAAAGGGGAAAATGCCAAACCCACCCGGCAAGTTGGGGATGGAGCTGCAGAGCCTGACGTCCTTGCAGATGTCGTTTGGATCGAGCTCGGCGTCAGCAATCAGCTTGAGGAGGACTGGGCCGTAGAGGTCCAAGAAGCCCTTGCACTGCTCCGCCAACGATTCCGGGAGGAGGGGGCAGACTTTCTCGATCATCTGGGTCACTTCCTCCTGTGAAAAGTCATACAGCGTCACGTGATGTAAACGGCGCACGCTCAGCCTGAGGAGGCCGCGCAACAGCTGTCGTTTGCCAATTGTTGGTGGCATTGAACGTGGCGTTGTATTTAAATACGGCTGTTCACACGAGTGAAGACGGAAACAGCCGAGATGTGCATGTATATGCATACAAATGACACCGGTGCACATATCCATGCTATACTTCTGTATATAGCATTGTGATATATTGGAGGAGATCGGGAATATTTCTTTTAATTGTTCGACGATCAAAATTGGGAATGTTTCTCTCTAAGAACAGACAGCATGCAAACACAGGAAAAACCTTCTGTTTCCAAGAGAGAGACTGGAAATCTCAGACGCTTTATACTTGTTTGGCAAAGTTATGTGCATGCAGGGGAAACAAGCATACCGGTATTAAGTGGGAACCAGTCACAAACGATGAATTTCACACGATTCAGCTGGTAACATATTTTTGCTTAGCAGATATGTGTTCAGCGCTTAGCCAGTTACTGTAGTTATTGCTCATTGCTCTGCTGTGGGGGGAGCCGAGCGCTCTTTGCAGCGACAAGAACGTCATCTACGACTGTTGCCTGCAAATCGAACTCAACCTAAATTGTTGTATGTAGTAGAGGGGAAAAAATGCGAAGACAGCAACTTACGTCGATTGTTCTGTCCTTGAAGAGGTTTGATAGAATGGTCAAGAAGGCCTCACAGTCTACGCAGAAGGTTCCATTATCCTGCGCCATCAGAAGCTAAAAAAAATCGAAAGTTTATGAAATTTTTTTTTTAAAAATTAGGTTGGCGATTTCAAATACAAGAAAAGATTATTTCGCGCACACATATATGACCTTCCTTGGATTGACAAGGGATTGTTCAACCAAAGATCGTGGTATTGGTGAAAAAAATCTGTTTTGGGAGAATTGCAACACATACAATAGTAATTATGGCCAACGAAACAAATCCTACATTACTTACAAGACTGAGCCAGTAGGCCCCGCCCACTGTACAGGTGGTACTTAACACGTGTTCTTCTCCAGTGCCATACTACGGGCGTATTCGAAACCCCATTCTCATGGGACTCACGATCAGTGTTCTTGGGTCGTTGATTACGAACGCCAAAGTGCAAAAGGAGTGCAGCTGCGCTGAAGGTCAAGATAGCAGTCGCCATTTTGACACCAAATGAAAAGATGGCATGACATTTACCATGTCACATCAAATAAAAACCCCAAATAAGCCTATCCATATTAAATGGTCAGGGTAAATTCTCTCCGATAGCCATGAGTATTATTTGCCCTGGGTTTATTTTCCTTATTGTGAGTGTTTTCTATTTTATGTCACAAAACCAAAATTAAGTTACGGTATGTGCCTGTATCCGCCATACATGTTCCAGCCGCGCGCATCATACGCATGTAAACGCATGTCGGCTGTGATTGGTTAGAACATTATGGGGCGAGGCTTATTTGGATCTGTCTAATCTGAAGCGTTGGTTTCGGCTGAGTACACAGCTCAGCCGGATGACGTCTTTTTTCGCTCAGTCTAACTTTATAACATAGCTTTAATTCACAGGTTTACCTACCAACCTGCATAACAGAAACTGACGCTTTAATTTGGCGAAATAAAATTTAAAGAATTCCTACCTTGTCCAACTTGAAGTCTGCTAGGGGCACGGGTCCTTGGCTGGGACATAGACGGAGAGATGCGCAGATGGTTTTAGGATCCTAGAGATAGGAGAAAATTGAGTTTTATTTCAGTGATATATACTGGAGGTAAAGTAAAGTAAAGTTCATTTTGAAACCAAAGGTGCCTTGTACTTCATGGTTTGTTAAGGTTTTTCAGTCACGTGATTTCCGACGGTTAGCCTTCAGTTGGCACAGAACTGATGTGCGCGGAAACGCGCACGCCTTCGAAGTCTCTCTACTCTCTGACGTTCATGAATGTGCCACTAGAAATACATGTACACGCCTAATCAGCTTTGGAATGTTTCTTGAACTGCACTTGCCCGTCAGGTGACGTTGCGTGAAAAAAACCCTCTATAGCCCTTACAAGTTTAAAAGATTAAGTCGCCTTGAACTGCATTTATGGCGAACGAATCAAATCATTGTTTGATAGGGTTGTCCCCCAGGCCTAACGTGACCCGTTTTCGGTTCCTCGTGTATAAGTTTATTCACTTTAAAATGTTAGTTGGGCTACGATGGAGCAAGGGGTCGGGTTCTTTAGACAACCAATGCTTAACAGCGCTAATATGTTTGTCTTGAAAGGGTTTTCACTTAGAAATACTTACAAAGAATTGAGCGACATAAGACAGGGCAAGTTCTCCGTATTCATCGACGAGATCGGTACAGTAAGTCGACCCCAAGATCCGACACAACTGCTCCAGTTTCTTAATAATTATCTCCTGTGAAAGTCAATCAAAACGAGGAACGAACTCATTGAGGCATGGAAGAACACGCCACGGCGACGACCAACATCAATAACTCGAGATATTTTTAATTGACCGAGAAGACTCCCAATTTAAGGGGATTTTGTTTACGTTGTTAGTTTACGTCATACCTCATCAGCCGGATTCTTCAGGGTTTGGGAAATATCGCCCACGACGTTCATGCAGTCAGTGCAAATATCGTTCGTCTGGGACAGAAAAGACAAATAATGTCACTTCGTCTTCTTCAAAACAGACCTGCACTGAGCAAAACTGAACGACCTCAACTTGAAAATGAAGAGACTGAGATAAAATGAAGTCTGTTAGGACGTTGTTATTTGAACTTTCAGAAAATTATTTCATTCGGGAAATATAAAGTCTTCAACACGATTGGGAGCCGATGGTCTTGATAAAGATAAATCAATAATTGGTCAACTCACGGGCATTTCGTTTGCTGCGTTGGATTCGGCCATGATGGGATTGTACAGGGCAACCAGGACCCCTGGGATGAGAAGAAATACTCTAACGTGTTACAAAGCGACACTAAACACTGTAATCAATAAACAAATAACGACAACGACGACAACGGTTCCTTAAAGATCTTCCTAAAATCAGATTGTGCCCCCGATGTCCAAACACGTACCACTCCCGCCATGGAAAACCTCCGATATCGACAGGCGAGTAAATCTCGAGGATGGAATTGAAATTAGATATCCCCTTCCCACTTTTTGACCAATGAAATGGGCTGTTGGATCTTCCCCGTCCATTTTTGGGGCGAGGAGAAAAAAAACGGCTTTTGAGGAATATTTTCGAACTTTCCAACAACCAAAATGTATTTAATAGTACTGAAAGGGGAGAAAAGGTACTAAAGCTCAAGTACTGCGTTAAACATAAGATCTACATCTGTGTCATGAACCTCGCCCCTGTACAATGTCGTGCGGTGCGCCAAAACAAGGACAAAACAATGACAGTGACAAACATAAATTCGAAAGAGAAACAAGCCAGATCGAAACTTCGTCATATGACTTGCATTATAAGAGGTAAGCCGATCTTTCCTCGTGAGCCCGCGTAAACAGAGTTACCCCCAACTTTCGGTCTCCTTCTAAATGTTGTAACCTATTCTTCCGCAGTGCACATTAATTAATTCACTACTTTCGGTTTCGGTGAATTCATTTGCGACACTTCCTTGATCCGCGCTGAAGACACATTGTAGAGAGGTAAGATAAAACAGAGAATGCAACTACCTTCGGGAAAAGGAAAAATGAAACCATTTTTTCGAGTAGACAGAGAGGAAATCGGAGCAGGAAGTATACTATACAAGGTCCTCTCACTTTAACATAACCTTCGAGAAAAACAACTCACTCCTCAACAAAGTTTAATCTTTTCCAAACGGACGGAATTTTTAACGAAGGGACGATGGACAGTGGCGCCTTATTTACACAGCGAGGAATGACCACTAACAGACTTAGGGTTTAAGGCTTCCGTAATTCATTCCAGTTTGCACTTTAATTTCAGATAGGAACATGTCTTGATGCATTTCAAAAACAGATCAGAAAGATGACTTCACCAATCACTGTTTGTGCGATTTCCGCGCGTTTATATTAGTATCTTGTTCGACCTAACCGCATGTCTGAGTAACTTAAGAAAACAATCTGTAATGGCTCATTATATGCTCTCGTGTCATCCATGTTATTTTTGCCCATTTCATACTTATGTAAATATCATTTGATTTTTTAATTTTTTTCTGTCCTATGGTGTATTTATATAGGCTTTGTACATTATCGCATATTTAATGTAACTACCCTAGTACATGTATGTTATCGATATTTGTTCGCTTTTATTTTCTAGTCTTAGTCGACCCTCCACTTTTTTTGTATCAGATCACATTTTTGGAGGGCCACTAGACAGTGATTTGGTTCACTTTTTGGCAATCCTTCAGGGGTGTTACCAGTGTATTATTATGTCCATGTTTTTGTTCTTAATTTCTGTTTCTTTTTATTGTTGTTTATTGTATTATCTGATAAATAATAAATGAAAGTAAATGAACGGAATGACTTAGGAAGCAAAACTCAAACAGTAAAGGTTATTGGTTGGTTATGAAAGAGCTTTGTATCACTGGATAGGCTTGAATAAACCTTTTGTGCGTTCGTTATAACCAAATTAAAATAACAAAAACAGGCGCTGAGACACCAAGCAGACACCAGCATAGCGTAAACACTTTGGTTTTTGCTAGAAGCCATGAGGGTTTTAAGTGAAGATGTTTAATTGTTTTGGTTTGCCCGTTCTTCGTAACATAGGGCCTATGCATTATGAAGCAAGATGTGGCAAGGAGAGAACCCCCTGCTTTGTGCCGGTCACTGTTTCACTGGAATCTGAGGAATTCTTTTCAGACATCGGGGGGGGGGTGTAAGGTAACAATAGTTTCGAGTGTGTATAGCGATTGGACGTGTTGGGGGGACCGCTCGGTCTCATTTCTTGCTGGATATAAGCAAGTGTGCGTATACTCAATCACAAGTCGTGTGTAACTGCAGTTACATAGACAATCACATCACGTACCTGTTATGAGGAGAGAACTTAGCAGAGAGGGCTGCATGTTGTTGGTACGGTCAATCAGTTGTGCTCTGCTGGGGATGCGCTGCCGAAATCTGAACTCATCAGTCACAGTGGGCGGATTTCCAGGGAGCAATGTTTGGCAGAGCTGGCGAATACCAGCTTAAATAACATTCGACGCGGAAGTCGAGTTTCCAGCTCTCCCTCTTGCGAGACCTTTGGCACGGTTTTGGCACTCACGTGAATGTTTCATCACAGCCAATTTCGTTTCAAATGTTACTTCATTTCCCCTCATAAACCTCGTATCCAGGGTAGCCTGATCGATGCTTCAGCACTTGCAGCAGGCCCCAGTGATGAATCAGGGAAATCACAGGAAATGTGGCATCTATGTAAAAGGCGACATATAAAGTGCAACTTTCACAAGCAGCATTCGCATCGTTTTCCTCCCCTTCGCTGTGTTTCCTTGTGCAGCCCGAGGTATACCCGGCAAGAAATGAAACCGAGGGGTACCCCCATACATGTCTAATCGCTCTACACACTCTAGGCTATTGTTACCTAGCACATCGCCCCCAGATGTTTGAAAAGAATCCCTCAGATTCCAGTGAAACAATGACCAACACAAAGCGCGGCGGGGGGGGGTCTCTCCGTCTTATATCTCGCTTCATATGGCCTCAGGACCAATTTATGTTCCAGGCCATCAATCCCGCCCAAACGACGCCAGGAATGACCGGGGGGTATCTACAAGCACACAGTGTTCGTTGTTTCTTTAAAGACTGTGCGGATTTGCAAACATTGCCCTACGGGAATAAAGCCTCGTTTGAACGCGAGAACTGTCCGGAAGAACTTCTTCCTTCTGGTGCAACTTCTTTTATCACCATAATTCGGACGATCCACAGCAGTGCGCCTCTAAGAGTTTGCAGCGCCCTGGCCAATCACAACGCGCAAAATCTGTCGACCCTTTCCAAACGCGCATTGGATTGACAGATTTCACGCCCTGTGATTGGCCAACGCGTTGCAAACTCTTGGAGGCGCACTCTTGTGAAACGCCCGTATTACAGTACCACACTTTTGAGGTGGCACACAGTAAATGGCACTAGGTGTAGGCCTACGAGTTTAAATTCAACTGCCAGTTAAAAGAAGCAGAGTGATGAAGGAAAAAAATCCGAGCCGCTACAGTCTGTGGTAACAGATTTTGGACTACTTTGATATTACGAAATATCTTTCTGCGTCGAGCCGACAAAAGCTACAACCCACTTCTGAAAAAGGCTCGTCATGATCGAGGTATCGTGAAACTAGGGTTTGCATTACTGTTATTATTATTATTTATTTGGCCAAAACAATAGACATGACAGGATAACACAGAACAACAGTACGGTACAAAACAGAACAGTGCTCCCAGATGGGCTAGGGGAAGTTAAAGCAATAATATTACTGTGATCCGTAGATCTGCTGACTCACACCTCGTCGTGCATCAATAAAAGTCATAGCTTGAATATTTAAGGTAAAACGTTTGACTATTTGAAATATAGAAGAGATCAAAATGAGAAACTTACTTCAGGGCATGGTACGGACATTAAAAACAGAAAATCATACTTACAAATTACAGAAAAAGGTTTAAGAGACATACTGGGCATAAAAATTGTGATATGAATAGAAAACAAAACAAAACAGAAAATGGATAAAAAATATGTGAGTAAAAGACTCAGGTACAATTACACCTCAAAAACGTTAGTGTAAAAATGAGACGCAACTAAAAAAACCAAAAAAGGCACACTTTAGAGGTCATATAACGCATGGCTGCCATCTTGTTAAAGCCAGCGCTTTTGTTCCAGGGGTTATGCACGAAGGATGTTTCCCTGCGACACAAGAGAAATGCCCCGCAAGATGGCTACCACGCAAAGTCTGTATAACTGTTACTTTATTCATTTGTTTAAAAACGGCTGCCTGCCATTTTGTATGAGAGACCCAAAATTCGCAGAACTAAACCAAGGGCTACACCAAGAGAGGGCGCTATTTCCTTAACAACGGAGGCTCCTTTGGTCCGAATTGAATTGCTGGTTCACGAACGACTTGGAGATGCACGCGTCACGGTCGCATCACTACCAACAAATCAATCTCTCACAACCAACGCGGCTCTCTTCGACCGACGGTTGGTAATAATTCTGCTCAAGGCGGATATACGTTGGTCCTTATTGGACAGATTTTCTAATGAAGACAAAATGAGAAATTACAGACACGAAGGCAAAACACTTTATAACAAAGTCCCGGCAAAGAGATGAATTTCCTTTTTGTTTAATTTCTTGTTCAATATCGAATTAGACGGCGGGGAAAAGTACCAAAATCGCAAAATGAGAATTTTACTTTCTGTACTTCATACTGACCATATCATTCCTAGTCTAATTACTGAGACAGACCGAATGCAAAAGCAAATGTCGCTAAAAAGTGACCAATAAAACATTTAACGCATAAAAAATACTCATCAACCTCTCATACCGAAATCGCTCACTCTGTCCTTACGATGTATTTCAAAATTGGATGGAATCAATGTAAATTGATGTAAAAAAAAACACTAACTGAATCGTCCAATTTGTTCTGGGATGGGGGAGAGACTCGCCCAGCTTGATATAATGTGTCGAAATGATCAGAGAAACTTTACGTCCAACTCCTGTGACACTTTTCGCATGTACGAATCAAAGGCTATAAAATGTGAAATTTAATAAAACCAACTTCCATTTTTCCCTGGCTTGTGCGTATCATTCAATAACTGGATTACACTCCGATGCTAAGCACAATTATTCTAAAACTCTTTTTGTTCCAGGTAAGCAACCGCAATTTAACTGTACTTGTCATCGTAGCTAAATATAATATGTCGATAAAATTTTAACCTTTCTTGATTAGGTCAGCAACGTTTTTCAAGAACCAAATGATTGAAATATCTCTTTGGCACAATGTTGCGAAAGGAAAATCACTACCGTTTAAAAAATACCAACAACGAGCAGCAACGATTCGAAATGAAATTGGAGACTATTACATCCAGAACACATTTCAGTCTATGATCACAGAAGTTAAAAGCTGCACAAAAATTGGCGACCGTTCTCAAACATTTACATGTACCATTTCCATAAAATTTGCCAGATACAAAGAATTACTGAGCATACACAATATATAATCCTCATTTATAACCATAATTATTAAACATTAGCTTTAAAAAGCACATTAAAACAAAAGGACGATGAACTATCAACAAAGATTCTCTCTAAGAACTACTTGAGTTGGTTCAGCTTTGAACAGCAATGAGCCTTCACAGATACTGTGAAGCTAAATTTCCCGGCTTGGTAAGATGTGATCACTGCCCCAGTGCACTGAAATTTCCTCCAGCGCTTCGTGCCTACGTTCAGCTGTTTTCCGATGTAAATATGTCCGAAAGTCATCTCGTGGATTTTAAATAATTCAAACTCGTTCCTGTGTCTTTTAAACATACTCAGCCAATTATACCTCTGACGTTCACCTAAATTTTGTACTGGTGATTGGTGCATGCATTAAAGAGTTCAGGATTAACCAGAAATTTTTCCTTTGTGCTCTAATCAAAATCTGTGGGATGTAAATTTTCAGGACATTTATGAAGGCTGCAAGTCGTCTGTTATCAATTTAGTTCCAAGCGTGCCGACGACAGTGCTGAACGGTCTGTTATACAAGAGAATAAAGGTGAAAGCTGATCAAGTAAGCACTTATGAAAAGAAACATTTTATCAAGAATAGCCAGTGAGGTTGTTGACCATTTCGAAACAACTTCAATTTTCAGACAGACTTTGTCATTTGGGTTCATCCTGTCAACATCCGGCATGACTTCACCATTCCCAAAATGGCCAAAATAGTTTGTGAATATTTCTTGAAATCTGCACCAATTTTTTTTTTAAATATTTGAGAATTCTATCCCCCTGGACTTTTCAGTCGGACCCCCTGGGACCCTTGACTTACGTTGCATAGTTTGGCGTTGTCCATGCTGGCGCACCAGAACGTCGGGCCCAGGTTACAGATCTCGGCTGGAGGTAGGCCAACTAGGGACTGGGTGCACAGCTTCAGATCCTGGGGAGAGACGAACAACGATCCCTGAAATTTTCCATTTTCGGGGCCCCAGCCAGAGCGATTTTGTTCTAACGCACAGCAAACTAGGAAAACAAGCATACATCTAGGGCCAAGTTCTGTCTGGGGTGCATCGATTCTTAGCAAGATCTTAGCAAGATTCTCAGCAAGATTCTTAGCAAGATTCTTAGCAAGATCCCCAGAAACACGATACAGAGTTTGGGACCCGAGTCGCAGTTCACCAAGAGTCCAGTAATCTTTTTTCCTCTTTGTCCGGTCTTACCTTGCAGAGGGTCTCCGGGGAGAGAAACTCCTCAAGAATCAGTTCTAGAAGATAGGAGCCGTACACCTCGATGTAGTTCTTGCACTGCAGGAGAAAGGAAACAAGCTCTTAAGATGTCACTCGATGCAGGACCGAGTAATTATTCAACGAGAGGCAACTCTGTCAAGCAGGGCGAAAGAGCAAAAGAGCAGTCTGTTTTAGACTGGACGCCCTGTCCAATGGAACAACTCTATCACCAAACACGTTTATTGAGAGATGTCGTAGTAAGCACGGATATTTTATTCCAGAGAGCAACTCTGGCGAATGCAATCATGTTATACAGAGACAAAATCTTCCAAAGGCCAAAGAGAAGGCCAAGTGTTACTGGAAAGTTGTTTTACTCTGGGCAGAAGCCTCCTGTGGGAAAAGACTCTTCACTTTGGAGCCAAGGTCAATCAACAAACTTGAAAAGACAAGGCACATTACTCAAAGTAAACACTGGCTTTGGCTTCGCTGGAACAGAATAGTTCAAAGATCGAGATCGAATGTTGGGGGATGGTGCTTACCTCCTGTCTGTCAGCTTCAGGGAGGAGGTCGCAGATCTTGGCGATAAACTCCATCACCTTGTCCACGTTTTGCTCCAGGAAATCTTCCAGTGCTGTCACCAAGTCCTTGCACCCTGCGCAATCCAGTGATCCCTTGGAGAAAGTCAGTCCCGCTGACAAATGGAAATGGTAAGATATTTCAGTCTGAGTTGATGTTGGCAAAGCACAACTACGGCACACATAACCTATGAGTAGGCAATATTTCTAGCCTACTTTCAAAGTTGACTGTTCTCAACATCCCTGTTGATTTGAGAAAGCAAATATAAAAATTAGAAATGAAATAATTCCGAACCACAGCTTCTCAATTATCATACTCGTACCCACTCCAAAATTCCTCAACATGAGATGGCAAGTCAGTGTCCCGTTGACGAGTTAGGACTCTTCAAACAAGCAGGAAATTGAGACAAGGAGGGAAATGTCCAGCTCACCGGGCAATTTCGAGCTGGAGCTGCACAACCTGAGGTCCTTGCAGATGTCGGGGGGACTGAGCTCCTTGTCCACAATCAGCTTGAGGAGGACTGGGCCGTAGAGATCCAAGAAGCCCTTGCACTGCTCCGCCAGGGATTCGGGGAGGAGGGGGCAGACCTTCTCAATCAACTGGGTCACTTCCTCCTGCGGACAGTCACACAGCTTTTTATGAGGGATACCATCTGCGCACAGAGTGACGAGGCTCCCACACGGATTAACAAAGAGCAACTTACCTGCGAGACCTATTCACACAAGTGAGGACAAGTCATGTTGGCAGCACATACTAGTCGCATATGGGAATGACCACAATGCAAATGTCAAATTTGCAACTGAATGTGCACAATTCCACTGCACAGAGTAATGCACCGCATACGCAGATAGCCAAACATCGGTACAGTCTTGGTATGTAGAACTAGTCGCAAGTAAATCTATTAGCTGGCCCAAGCAGAGCAGCATTACAATTCGGCTTGTTGGAACAACCCCCCCATAAAAAAAATCCTTACTTACCAAGGTTTTGTTATTTTCCAGTTGGGTCTCAATGATGCCAAAGAGGACATCACACAAAAGACACAGGGTGTCATCGTTGACCTTGCCAAAAGGTGCAGCTGTGGAGGGACGAGTTAGAGAAACACTTTAAGCGCAGAACGTCAACTTGGACACGTGAAAATCTGTCGAGAATTTTCTACGCTGAAGGGTTATTACAAGTGAGGTTAACACTCGCACAGACACTCAGCAAGTTTTGCTTTCATCTGATGCCAACTCAGATGGCACGACCACTCACCGAGTTTGCTGGGGTCGCAGACCTTGAGGAAGTCGCAGATGGTGTCCGGGTCCATCCCCGCCAGGAGATACTGAATGATGGGCTTGGTATAGTCGTCCACAAACTCCTGGCAGTCCTTGGCGAGGGAGGACAGCGGGATCTTGCTGCACACCGTGTCCAGGAGCTTCTGGATCTCTGCCTGTTGAGAAGCGGAAAGGCAGAGCGGGTGAAGCAACATATAACTGGCTACATCCGAAACTGGTACTCCTCAAACTGCGCAATGATCTAGCTCCACCCCCGACGCTCTCTGCCCACCCCCGACGCTCTCTGCCGAATCACAATGCTATTTTTGGAGCAGCATTTTCTTTGACAAGAAGTCACAAGTGCTTGCAGCAGCAAACCCTCTTGGAAACAACTGCAGCTGTTTTAAAAGAGCTGGTAACCACAGGGACTAGCTAAGCACTGGATATGTCAGCTCAGCAGAAACAGGTTACCAGCTAAGTTGTGCAAAATTCACTGTTTGCAACTGGTTCCCACTTAATGTTTTCCTCAGCACAGGACTTTGCTAAGTAGAATCAGTCATTCAGCACGGTGTCAGTTTGAAAAGGCACTGTTCTCAGGTCAGGCATTTTTCAGTTCAGATAAGGCGATCCATCGATGGAGAATATTCTTAAGCGCTTCCAGCTTGTTACAGTCAACCGACAATTAATTAATAACTGATGCATTCTTAATGCTGAATTTAATTCAAGTGGAGTTTTTTCCTGTCTCTGAGTAGCATTCTGCATGTGCACCAGCCAGCCTCACCATGAGATGAAATGCAAGTCCCCCATAGTTATAAACTTCCTGTAAATGAAACTCAAGAATTTTGTAGGCACGAGACAATGACCAAGCAGGGTGGGCCTACCTCTGTTGCATTCTGGGAGAGTCCTGTGCGCAACTCCTTGACAATAAGCTCACAGATCATGCACTCAGCGGACGAATCAATTGCCGCATTAATCATCTTCTCCATTGCTTCCTCTTGAGGGGGACATTTGTAAATGAGAACAATAATATCATTTAAATTTTACTTTTAATAAATATTTGATATTGATTATTATACACTACTCAAAAAAAGTTAGGGACCACTTTTTATTTTGTGTGTACTTTCTTTTGTCCGATTTCGGGCAGCCCGGCTTGGCATATAAACCCAAGGTACCAAAAACTGGGTCCCCTGGCACATATGGTTAATGCGGCCCCGTCCTTAGATTTGATGCCTTTTCGAGGAGATTTATCTCAGAGAAATACCGGTTAAATTGAACTTGTTCACGGTTTGACTCTGGCAGTTTTCTAGGGCCAGCCTTGCTTGTCTTACCTGAGCTGCACAGCCCTAGAAATCCACAAAGCTCCTCCGGGGTCATGCTCGTCACCAGCTTGAGAATCTCCGGCAGGTACTTGTCCACCATGTTCAGGCAAACCGTCTTGGCCTCAGCGGGCAGCTTGGGACACACCTTCAACCTCAGAAAGTCCTCAATCTCCTTCTGCAACCGGGGGGAACAAAAGAGAGATAAACAGCGCTACCGCAAACCTAGTCTTTAAGGCAAACTCTCAAATCAGTATTTACCATTAAATCATTGAACTGAGAACACTCTTCATTAATATTCAAATGGCATGCATAACTACGACAGCTACTGCACGCGACAGGAACTGTACAAGTCTCGTGGCAGCATATCCTCCATTGTGAAAATGTCCTCATATTTACCTGAGTGGATGCCTCTCTGAGGATGATCTCGACGTGTTCGACGACCATCTCGCACGGACCACATGCTACCCCTCCAACTTTCTTGGGCACTTTCGCTTCGACCACTGGAGAAAAGAAGACCGCGAAAGCCGTCCGTTCTTAAGTATAGGCAGAGTCGAAATCCTGTTCCCCATAAAGACATCCCAGAATCCTGCGCAGGACGACTCTGAGCTACTTTGCTCGGTTCACAAGGCAGCATATTCACCTCTGACATTGACCCCCATTTTGCCACAGGATGGCCAAATAAGATCTGGATATCTGTACACACCAGTACAGCTGATGGATCAAACCATTCGGCACGCCTCAAAACACCTAACACCGACGTCTGAAAACCTGTTTCTTTTACACGCACATACAAAGTCCAAGAAATCTGTTGACGCGGAGCAAGTGCTGGATTTTAACTTGGCCGCTGCGCATGACCTGTTGTGGAAGCACCCTCGCTCTGTGGGTGCACCCCAGGATGTTGAAAATATGAGGTTACCTGAATTACTGTACAAGTCCTTTTCAAACTTCTAACGCTAATCAGGATTTGTGGCATTCGGACTCGTATTAGAAGTTGACCACCGTAATTAGCCCTTTTTAAAAGTCAAAATTTTGAGCCAAAAATAACACTGTTGGCAAGTGGTTCAGAGCATCGAACCTCAGGAAAGGATCGTTTGCTATTTTTACATCCCAATCAGAGTCCGGGGACTTACCAGGGCTAGTACAGAGTTTCAGCTCGTCGCAGACTTGGGTGGGCGTGACAAACTGCAGCAGAAGTTGGATGATCTGCGGGGCATACTCATTGATAAAGTCCTGACACTCGTTACGGATCGTGGCGGGCAACAGAGAGCAGACGTCCTCTAAGACCTTCTCAATCTCTGCCTGTCAGTTCAAGGAGACAAAACTCATACATTATTCATATATTATTCATAAATATAATAAGCAGTTAATAGCATTGGTGCTGGCAATTTGGTTAAACACCATCGGTTAAAAACACAGTATTTTTCTTTTTCGACAAAGAAATTGAGAGAAAAAACCCAGATAATTGTCATGGCACTTTTCCCACTTACTGCATCTCCTGACTAATAAAGATGTCTTTATCAGTGTGAATACTCTTTGTAAGTTTTGACAGCTATGTAGTAAAATTATTTTTCAAAACTGCACTTTAAACAGAGGACAGTAAGTCAAGTTCCATTTTGGATATCAGAGGCCCCAAAAACTACAACAGGTGCGCACAACCACCCTTACATATGTATACATGGTGTACTTGTGGGGTGTTTCCTTTGTTCTCGTGTACCAAACTCCCACACAACACGGAAAAAAATTTCAAATCACTGCCATTTCAACCAAATTCGGTTTCCTGGGTTGAAATTTCGACCGTATATCCCTTATATAAAACCCTTCAGTGTACAACAGATGAATGGCACTTGAAAATTCCTCCGTTTTGGAGTAAATTTGAAATATCTTTTTTGTGGGGTACCACTTTAGTACCCCACAAGGATCACAGCTGGCCTTGTGGGGTACCTTCCATTGTTCCGGTACCCCACAAGGCACCATGTACAAGCACACACCTTCCCGAATCAGAAGTCTGAAGCCCATTCCTTGTTGATAGTTTCATGCATCTAAATTATCATTCAATTTGGTGGGATTCACTCTTCCTTACCTGGGTAGCCTTGCTATCCAGCAGCCTGTCAACTTCCTTCATGACCAGTTCACACAGCAGACATTCTGTAGTTTCGCCTTCCCTGCCTAGATCTGAAATCAATTCAAAATGCATCAGATTGTCAAAACCTGACACCGAAAATTTAGAATATCTTCAACAGTTGCCTCCGGACGCTTCACCATGAAATAGTGGACGTTATTTTCCTCTGAGTACACAGTAAAGAGAGTATTTTACAAGGAAGGTGCTGTGAAAGTGTGAGAATGACTGTCCATGCAAATCCACACCAACGACATCTTCATGGCATGAAATTTCAATAAATACAGAGACGGCAAACAAAGCTATAATTTGTGGTGACTAGTGACACTCACCGTGGCAAATGAGTAAAGGTTAAAATCTTACAGGATGCACTGTACTTGCATAAAAGGCAGTGCCGCGTACCTGGCGAGCTAGAGCAGAGACCAAGGGTTTGGCAGATCTTGTCTGGAGGGATAGACTTCAGCAGAGCCAGAATGGCCTGGGTGTATTTGGCGATGAACGCGTCGCAGTCAGCCTTCAGTGAGGAGGGCAAGATGTCGCAGATGTTGTCCAGAAACTTCTCAATGTCTTTCTGTAACACAAGAAGTAAAGTAGATGATATCACAAGGAATTTACTGCAACTTCTGTCAAAGTGGAAGAAAAAAAGAGATTTACCACGGAAGAAAGACTTTAGAAACAATTATTTAACAATGGCACTGTGGCCTACATGGCCGCCCCTTCAGGGACACAGGTACACACCCCCATAAACAGCACAGGCCCGGTACTCTTCTTCCTTAAAGATTTTCCTTAACTTTGAAGTCCTTATCATCAGTGTTGAATGTTTCTTTTTATTTATATACAAGGCCGTGCACAAGACCACACACAAGAGCAGACACAAGACCACACACAAGACCACACACAAGACAGGACACAAGGCCGTGCACGAGACCACACACAAGACCAGACACAAGACCAGACACAACACCAGTCAGAAGTAACAGGGTGAACAATGACAAAAGAATGTTTTCGTTGGAGTTCATTTGAATAGCTTGTGGCTTGAATTCAGACTGGAGGTCTCGTGCTGGTCTTATGTGGTCTCATGAAGGTCTCACATGGTCTCAACAACAGCACTGGGAGGAAGTTAACGAAGACAGAAGAATACTTAGGAGACATGTTAGACTCCATACTTGACCCAGTTGGGCTTTATTGTGATGGTGTTTCAGCTCTTTTGTGTTTGAAATCCCTGACAGAAATACTCACCTCTGTTGCATTTCTCTTGACCAGGGCTTCTAGTTGGCTCATTACAAGTTTGCAAACCTCACACTCAATCTCGTTACCCACTTGGGAATTGTGTTGAACTGGGTTGGCAGCTGATTGCAAGAAAACAAGGAAAAACAAGGAAATAAGTTAAAACTCAATTCCAACAAAAATGTTCTTCTTAATCAATATAAAAAGTATAATACAACTGGCGCATAAACTCAATACCACTTCCACCAACAGCATTTATTTCATATTCAAAGCTGGGTGAATGCTGTCTATCAAATCTGCATCCTGGGTTCTCATCTACCCAGATACGGAGACAAGGCGGCGCCGCGTACCTGGGGAGCTAGAGCAGAGACCAAGGATTTGGCAGATCTTGTCTGGAGGGATAGACTTCAGCAGAGCCAGAATGGCCTGAGTGTATTTGGCGATGAACGCGTCGCAGTCAGCCTTCAGTGAGGAGGGCAAGATGTCGCAGATGTTCTCCAGAAACTTCTCAACGTCTTTCTACAATGCAAGAAATTAAAATTTCTTGTGATGATATCACAAGGAATTTGCTGCAACTTGTTTCAAAGCAGAAGACAACAGGAGATTTACAAACAGAGGAAGCCCTTATGAAACAATCATACTACTCGGTTGCCTGGCATACATGGCCGTCCATTTACTCGCACATGTACAAAGACTTATGAACAATACGAAACACGCCAGGTCCTCCTATCCCATGTGAAAGATTTTCCTTAACTTTGAAGTCGTTACAAGTGCGCGCTAATTATGTTTCGTTTTATTTAAAGTATATTTTTAACATTTGTACAAAGTGTTCATATATCGGAGAGCCAAGGAACATGTTCATTGTATCAGATTGTTCAGATTTGCTCTCGTGGAACTGAAGAGTATTTGTGACTTTCTACGCCTTTGTTGTCAAAAACTTCACCATGTTCTTCTGGACACAAGAGAAAGGAGACGGCACATTCAGCTCAATCACAACTATTACAGAATGGAGGAAGTTAACAAAGACATATAAGAATGCCTTCTAAAGCAAACAGGTTCAACTTTATACTTGACAAAGTTGTTATGCTCCACTGTGATGGAGTTTCAGATCTTTTGTTTTTGAAATCTCTTCAGCTCACCTCAGTTGCATTTCTCTTGACCAGGGCTTCCAGTTCCTCCATTATAAGGTCGCAAATCTGACACTCAATTTCATTACCCACTTGGGCCTCCTCTCGGACTGGGTTGGCAGATAATTGCAAGAAAACAAGAAAAAACAAGGAAATGACTGCCTTGGAAACAACCCTACATGTGGACGAACCCCACATTTTCAAAAAAATTAGTCAGAGCAACCGAACCGGGGAATGTTGTCTCCTGGAGAGACCCACCTGCATCTTTGCAAACCCCCAGTTCATCACAGACACCAACGGGGCCCATGGCGAGGATAATTGAGATCAGTTCAGGGATGTACTTGGCGACGAACGCGTCACAGTCGGCCTTCAGCGACGAGGGAAGAATGGAGCACACTTCGTCCAGGGCATGGATGATGTCATCCTGTCCAAATCGGGAATGAGAAGCTTTATTAAAGTAGCAGGCATCCTGTGGGTGTGGCCAAGATTTCTTCCGGGGGAAAGGACGACTCATTTGCAGGAAAATGATAAACCATTCATGGTGGAGGGGGTTATTTTGAGATATTTTTGAGCAAACTGGTGGCCTCCATCCATTGTTTTTTCATTTCTCTCATTTTTGCATTTTTTTCCCCTTTTTATTCTTCAATTTTTTTCCTGGGGGAGGGAACATCTTCCCTTGCCCCTACCCCCCCTTGACTCCAACTATGCCCCTCCTTCTTTTGTGTTCTATCTAATTTTTCCTTCAAGGTCTTTTTCAATTTCACACGCAACCACGTTCATTTCTGGATTCTCCCTGAACCCTAACCCCCTAAGGACCATTCAAATCCTGTATAATCTTGTTGGGTT